TCCCTTGACCTTCTGAAGGCCGTGCACTTGTCCGAACCTTCCGCAGGCAGTTCTTGCATTCTGAGGCCCGTCCGAACCTCACAAGTTACCATACCATGTCCTATCCTCATCCTTTTGACTTTGCTGGTGCGTTTTCCCTTATTCTAATTATATGTTGACTACGCCTTAGTGCTACACGGATAAATTCCATTGGCATCCTGTCAGGAGCCTCGGAATATGTATAAACAGTATGCATCGTGGCTTATTACATGTATACTTGCTTTTCTGCTTGCCTCGCGGCTTATTACATAGGTTCGGACTTGCTTATCTCACTACTAGTTTCGCCTATGGATTCCGGTCTCTCATGGAAGTAGGATATAATCTTGCTCGCTGGCTACTGATACTTCACTTCACTTCCTGTACTTCAAGTTGTAATTAGTAGAGTCACCTTGGTATAATTGTAACTGCGCAATCAATCTTTGTTCATTTGAAATGATTGTTTGGCTAGACTGCTGCCAATTCTGCACTTCATTTATCCTTGAGTTCCGATAGATTAGCGTCGTTTCTGGACTTCAGACGCTTTGCAAAAATCTTATATTGTTATTCGACACATCAACACACCAATACATTGACATACCGACATATATTGACCCTCGGACAGCTCTTGCAAACCTTGGAAGGCATCGCTGTCCTGCATGATGTGGGAATCATGCATGGACATGAATACTAGGTGACCCTCAAAAGACAAAGTCTGTTAGCTTAGTCCTCAGACTAGTCAACCCATACCTTGGTTTCAAACCATGGTTCATATTTCCAGTTTTCCCCAAGTTTCATGATCTGAATACATTTTGACGGAAAAAGTCTAATGTGAGATGGGAATCACATTTAGACCTAGTTGACGTGAGAAGGGAAATGAAGGTTAAGGTATAGCCTTGCCTTTGGCTTATTCACTTTGGCTAGAGAAAACCATAGAGAAAAGTACAAAGCCTATAAAAAACCTATCCAAAAAGACCATGTTTCAATTCCTGCCAACTGCATTATTTTTTTGACTATGTTTCAATTCCTGCCAACTGTCTTATCTTTGTTACCTACTTTTCTCTAGTGTTTCTTTACTTTACTTTTTCATTAGGATGCTTTGACTCACCTGACACTTCATAAAATTGTACCCATAGGGTATGATGTCATTATGATGTCATAAGACTCCACAGATACTCCTGCAGGTATTCTGTTGAAAGATATTATGTCATCAAGCTCTAGATTATTCTACTCCACAATGACATCATCCATGATGTCATTTCCTTCTAGAATATTCTGCTCCACAATGACTCACTCTGACTCACTCATGGAAGGTTCTGGAATCTTTTGCTCCACAATGATGTCACTCTTGATGTCATTATGATGTCATTACTCCACATTCCAGAATGTTCTGCTCCACAATGATGTCATAGTTCCATCTTTCACTTGTATTTTATTCTTTTATTGGGTTTGACCCAATATTTTGATTGGTCCTCCTTATTTTTTATTGTTTGTGAACCTAGGTTACTTTCCCACACAAAATGTATATAAGAAGAGCCCATTCTCCCCCCCAAAAAATATGATCTCCCATTTGTAGCAATCTGCCTATCAGATATTTCACTTGTAAAGTTAGTTCCTTTGAAGTGAGACAAGTGCAGGGAAAAGAATTCCCTTGAGATTATAAGTTTCTTACCTTAGAAACTTATTTAGTGCTATAGACCAAGCATTCTTGGTCACATATATTGTCTTTGAGACCCCTTTGTCTCATTAGGGACGTTCAAAGTTGGGCGCCCACGCCCACCGCCCACGCCCACGACCCCCCTCGCCCATATACCACTACCCATTTTGTACTTGAATGAATGTATTATATAATCAATGATAACTTAACACTGTCCGAAACCACATTACACTCAATGGCATGTCTCCGAACATCACGCGAGCAATACCTTCACTCATATCTCTTGCTTATGGTTCTTCGTACTTTGTGTCAGCCAGATATGACACTCGAAGAGGCAGCAGTACAGCAGCATTGCGACTTATCTTGCATTCTTGCTATTCAACAAACTCGTTATCTACAAGAGCGCTCCCCTGTTGCAAAAGCCAGCACCCTGCACATTGCTTGGGAATACGCAAAATCTCTATCTGATCATAATCGCTTTATTCACATGCTCCGTGTTTCTCCAATGATGTTTCAAGTCCTGCTCAATCTAATTGAAGGTCATCCGGTTTTTTCCAATAATTCCAACAATGCACAGGCGCCCCCTTCGTCATCACTTGGAGGCTGGTAGTGCACAGTCTTCCTGCCATGCGGGCCGATACCAGTGGTGATGGCTATTGGAGTGACATTCGGACGAGAGGATAAGATTCGATGAAGAACAGGAAAGAATTTGAATTGCTCAACAATCTCATCTGTGTCATGTTAGAATTATTCTGGCGGAAAATAAGTAACATACCCCAAATACACTGTGCTTTTGGAGTTGTGGTTGTGTTGGGTCCATCAGCAGGGACATAGCATTCGAAAAATTCATTGTCGGAGACATTGCCATTCGCATCAGATTGGACCCCTTCACCAGTTGTTCGGAGACGTCGAGCATGCACCTTGTATTTTTTTGTTAAGCTGAGCAGAATTGTAAGCTGAAAAATAGTGAGAAAAGCACAGCACTCACTACTCATACTTTCGTTTGACTCGGTCCCCCATTGCGACAGCATTCTGGCTGTGCAATTGCAGGAAAACGGCAGCCGCCATGCGCTGATACACCGTCACTTTGCTATCACCTGACGTGTTCTGACACAGAAACATCATATCTCGTATCATATATGACAACTTTGACTCACTTACCTCGCCCTTCTTCCGTTTGCCTAGAAGCACGACTCTGTTCTCCGATAGTTCAATCTGCGCCAATAGCTGCCAGACCAAGTCATCAGTCCAGACAATCTCCGGGATTGTGACGCCGTTATCCTTCTTCTTTGCCATATGCGCAGATCTGATTGATGGTGAGTGAAGGTAACAAACCAATAAATTTTCAGAATTACTTTGTATTATCTAATTATGCAAACTACATTTTAGGTGACGACACGTGGGCGAAGGGGTCATGGGCGTGGGCGGTGGGCGTGGGCGCCCAACTTTGAACGTCCCTATTGCTGTGTGCCCTTTGACTAAGCGATCTTAGTCATCTATCATATTGTTGAGACCACGTCTCACTAGTTGTCCCATAGACCAAGCGATCTTGAATATATATATCATATACTTGAGACTGTTGTCTCATAGTTCCAGTGCCCATAGACCAAGCGATCTTGGTCATATTTTGTATATTTGAGACCACGTCTCACTAGTTCCAGTATCCAAGTCCAGAGCCTAGAAGGAGATTTCCTAGGCAAATATGTCCCAGAAACCGAATTACGTGTCTAGAAGCTTATTCCTAGACAAGAGATTTGAGTTTCAATAAAGAAAAGTAAAGCTCCGGCTAGGTTGATCTTAATAAAAGATTAGTTTAGCAAGCCTCCCAAGAACTCACACATTATCTACCACAAAATAGGAAAAGTCGTAGACCGTGTTAATTGAGGACTGGCAAGCAGTCTTATTCAAAGTGTAATTGTGGTGTCATTACATTTACACGACTTTATATAAGACCCTCGGTTATTAAGACATCGCGCTACTTTGGACAACACTTTCGCAGCTTTGGATGACTTTCGACCGCATCGGACAAGTACCTCAGTACTTCAGATGTAGTCTCAGAACTCTGGACAGACATTAGAGAGGTTTACTTCCAATATCTTGTCTACTCTCTGACTGTATAAGACTTCCCTTGCATTATCAAGGTAGTTCTTTAGGTTGTCTCTTGGGACGAAGCATACTTGCATCTCTCAGGACTAGGGACTCACATTCTGTAGAGCCCAGCCCAGATCTACTCTTTACACCGGGTGGTATGGACTGAAGTATTATGTGTTGCAAGCCTATCCTTATGCAAATCTCTACAACATATTGAGTGATTCTTGGTATAGAGAGACTGGAGGACCATTGTCAAGGAGACAATACAGTATCAGTGATTTTTAAGCTCAAGCTCAAATATTTAAACTCCCTCAGAATATATTTATCTTTTCAAACTTATGATGGACATCCAACACATAACTTGTAGCTAAATAAATGAGGAATGTGATCTACATGTAAAAGAATAAAAGCCAAAACAAGTAAAGCGCACATAAAAAAAAGAGTGTGCCAAGAAGCTTGAGAATGACCATAAGCATAGAAGTTTGCTGCTAGTAGTGAGATTCAAATTAGTATGATATTGGCCGTGACATTTAATATCACTCACCCTTACAACTTCAGGGCTAAGCTGCATGACATGAAGGTCGGCAAAGAGGGCCATGGACAGAATAGATGAATGCTTGTATGACAGATCCCATTTGGGAGACCTAAACATTGCCTCCCACCAGCTGCTGTGGGTAGTTTGAACTAAAAGATAGAGTCTGGGTAAATTTTCATCTCCCAACCTCAACTGATCTAGTGTGGCATCAGTATTAGGTCCAATACTAATGAGCGGCGGCCCATGTAATTAGGATTCTGGCTCCAGACCCAGTCCCAAAAACAGCAGGTCAAGATATAGCATCTACATGCCTGCACCAATAAACCTACTGTTATGGTGTTGATGGGACAGATGCAGCATTTTTCTTTCTAATACCTGCAGCCTTGTGAATAGCTGCAGATGGTGCAATGTGTCCCGCAGATGCCTAAAATTCACCTGAAAAGGCTTGAGCAGAACACTGAATGTGTGTCCAGTGCTGGTAGATGCTGTGGGCCCTTGGAACTGATATGGGAGGCTGGAACTTTAGAGTAGAGTTTGAGTTAGTGATTGTTAGCATTATCTGAGTAATTCAAACTGTTTGGCTCACATTAGTCATTGTGGTTTTATGTCTTCAATGAGACAGTGTTTGTTGAAACACTGAAGGTGTGGTATCATAAACTCCTGGGCAAACACCTACACCCAGACCGCAATGTCTCCACCAATTCACTCAGGTAATTCATAGAGTTTACAAGGTGTGATGTAGACATTAATAGGGAGTTGTTCAGGTGATATGGTTGCAGTTGCTTCAAAACCAGCATATTGAACAAGAACTGAAATTCCACCATCCAGGCAGTCTTGTATAGTTAGCTAGACAAATGTGAGATTTAGCTACACAAAAATACAGGTGACTGACTGCATCAAACATGTTCTGTAGCACCGCCTCGACTAGCGCATCATGGCTGAGTGTCCTCTTGTCCATTTGTTTAGCAGTAGCATTGAAGCCAATGTATGACAAGTGAAGGCCACCAAGTTCCCTAATCTGATAGTGAGTCCCGTTGATGTGTGTGTCATACCTCAAAAAAGCTCTAGTGGCTGCTTGGCATTCATTGTTGCTAAAACCTTCTGCAAACATTGATGTGTGCAAATCGGCAATACTGGACATAGTGAAGCATGCTGCTTGAATTGCAGACAGCATGTCAGTGGTTTTGGATGGCTTTTGTCATGATTTTGTGGGAGTCAACATCATGGAACCTATGATGAGTTAGAGTCTGCAATTATGTACTACTAAGTAGTACTAGTGTGATCTAAGTCCAAAGTGTAGATAGCAAGAACTAGTATGAATTTAAAGAGATACTACACACCTTGCAGTGTAGAGATTCACATAATTACAGGCTTGCAACGTGTTATCCTTCAGTCCATACCACCTGGGTTCGCAGCACCAACTCGCAGCATCATTCCATGACCTTTCCTCAGTCATTTCCATATCAGGCGATGCTTTCCCGCATTGTGAAACTTTCCTGTGCCTTGCAATGCCCTTGCATTGCTTGCTTTCCTGCGATTCCATTGCCCTATCATCCAAGAGCATCCATCCACTGTCCAGCAAGTCTCACTGGTACATATTTTTGCATTTTATTCAGAATGGCACCATATTAGAGCATGGACCCTGACTCACATACATTATTACATATATAGGACCGCATTTTTCACCCTTTACTACACCACACTTTACCCTAGTGGAGTTCCCCCATCATGTCCATAGCTAGAGTCAGAATCTATTAGCAGTCCTTTTAGTTATCATTCATTGAGCCCTTGTCTATTGCTTGTCTTATTTCGCACTTTCGCATTTTGCGTTCCCGTGCTAATCGCGCACGAGTTTCCCACACTTTGTGCTTATGTTGCTTGCCTTGCACAGCTGCTGCGCGACTGTGGATTTGTCTTCCTTGCTTCCCCTTGGATCGAACGTGCTTGTCCCTGCAAGCATAGCAGACTAGGCATTGCACCAGATCATTACATCAGCTTCTTGTGTCCCTCCCTTTGATTTATCATTTGACCAACAGCTGAGTTGATTCACCTTCAGCAGGTCCTAACAGCAGTCTGTGTGCATATACATTGATGGACCTTTCCATTCTTTTGGCATGATATCATTGCATGAACAGTGCAGCTGTTTGCCAGCAATCAATGAAAAATTGATCAATCACTTAATGATAGGATGTGAACATTACTATGTGACTCTGTGAGTCATTCTTAGTATAGCTAACCAGTCAGAAGTTCATTAATTTCCTTGAAACAAAAACTGATGTACTATCTTACATCCAACTGAGTCATTTATCTGTACATGAAAAGTATTATGCAAGTATATATCTACATCCTTTTACATGAAGTGCATCTTCTTGGCCAAATTCATGTATTTATCTTTGAAATTCTTCCTCCAGTATTAAGGTTGAAAATGTCATCATTGCTAAAGATGGTAGCAGCATCAAAATCCACTTAGTGTGCATGTGTCATATCCCGCGTTCCGGAGCACGATCTTGACAGCATGGCATGTTCCATTTCAACCCAGTCAAAAGCATCATCATTGCTAGAGATAGTAGCAGCATCAAAACCCATGGGTTAAAATGGAATGTGCCATGTGCACTAAGCATTGTTGTTGCTAGAGATGATGGCAGCATTGAAACCCATGGGTTAAAATGGAATGCACCATGTGCATTAATTTTACTGTTTTGCAGTAGATCCACCCCTTTCTTATTACATGTATAATGGTTACTGACTACTTATTGTACCAAGTCAGTCAATTATAGAATGTAAGAAATAAGTCATGTCCTCTGTGACTGTGTTGTGTTCTTCATTGTCAAGAGCTTCAATGTCATTGAATTCTGATGTGAGGGTAACAATATTCTCTTGCTGCACTGTGGTGGAGATTAGCAATGAAATGTACCTGGTAAAAAAACAAGACTCACCACCACTGGTATCAACTTGTAACTCTCCCTCTGGATGGGCATGGTAACCCTCCCTGCTGGAGGCAGTGTTCATGAGGCGGGTGCCAATACCCCTGACACCAGAGAAACCAAAAAGGTTTTTAATCTGATCTAGGCAACACAGGTGAATGGCATTGATAGCCACCTATGAATGCCACTGAGATTTCAGCTCAGCAGCGAGCAATGAGTCAGAAACGAGAAGATTGTTGATGACAAAAGATGTCTCAGCGGTTTCATCATGGATAGCAGTATGGAGGCAGCAGACTTCCACATTGAGTTGTGTGATTTCTTCATGAGCTTGAAAAAGTTTGAAATACTTGGTAGTTGCTTTGTGATGAGCTGGCTTTGCCCAATCATGGCTTTGGATATCAGTGTGGGAGTTGTGCAACAGGTCAAACTCGCCAAGGAAGCTGTAGTCAACAATGTGCTTCCATGCAATCTTCGGTCTTAGTGGAGTCAAGGCTCAAGCCTGAACATTGTAGTGATTGATGGCATTGCAAATAGTGTCTGAATGCTGCTGTAAAGCCTTGCTAATTTATTGATGTAATTTGTACCCTGGAGAAAATTAGTTATATGAGTGCATAAACCAAGTGAAACTCAAGACCTGTGCCCGATAATGAGAGCTTTGAAAGCTCAAATAATCTCATAACTACCAGACATTCCAGTTCATCCAATGCAGCACAATATTTTCCTAGTGTTGCTTCCTCCTTGAAATGGCTGGATTCCTCACTACCAATAATCCATCTTTTGTCCACAGATAAGAGCATTTTGCAATGTGCTGAAGGTGAATCAACTCAGCTGTTGGTCAAATGATGAATCAAGGGGAGGGACACAAAAAGCTGATATAATGATCTAGTGCGATGCCTAGTCTGCTATGCTTGCAGGGACAAGGACGTTCGATCCAAGGGGAAGCAAGGAAGACAAATCCACAGTCACGCAGCGGCTGTGTGAGGCAAGCGATGTAAGCACAAAGCACGGGAAACTCGCGTGCAAAGGCATGGGATCGTGAAATGCAAAATTGCGAAAATGCGAAATGTAATGAGCAATAGATGAGGGCTCAATGAATGACTACTAAAAGGACTGCTAATAGATTCTGACTCTAGCTATGGACATGATGAGGGAACTCCACTAGGGTAAAGTGTGGTGTAGTAAAGGGTGAAAAATGTGGTCCTATATATGTATCTTGCTAAGTGAGCCGAGTAGGAGATAATGTATGTAATAAGGTATGTAAATTAGGGTCCATGCTCTAATATGGTGCCATTTTGATAAAAATGCCGAAATACGTACCAGTGAGACTTGCTGGATAGTGGGTGGATGCTCCTGGATGATAGGGTAATGAAAGCACAGGAAAGCAAGTGATGCGAGGGCTTTGCGAGGCTCAGGAAAGTCGCACAATGTGGGAAAGTGTCGCCTGATATGGAAATGGCTGGGGAAAGGTCAGGGAATGATGCTGCGAGTTGGTGCTGCGAACCCGGGTGGTATGGACTGAAGTATTACACATTGCAAGCCTGTAATTATGTGAATCTCTACAGCACTACTAGCATTTCTGCATTCTGTAATTTAGCATAGGAAGAATCCACACAGAGATGAGCTTTCTTGAGCGCTTGATTAATTTGTTCCAGGTTAGTGGCATTGGTTCCAGTAAGGGCATTATTACCAGCTGGGTGTGCAACATCCCAGTCAGCCCTAAAAAAACTTCTCATCAGGGATGGATATCAATTAGCAATTAAAGTTTCATAACCTTTGCTCCACTAGCTCGTTGAGTACCTCAACATAATGAATACATAGCTGGTCTCAGGGAGGTGGATGCTTCAAAGTATCAAGATATGTGTGTTATAGAATGCAAATTCCTGCTGGACTCAGCAGAAATGGTATTACCTAGACAACAATATTTAGGTAGATCTTCAGCATGACCTATGCTGCTATGCTTGCAAGGCAAGCACATTTAATCTTAAAGGGATTGCTATATGGTATTAGTTTAGATAGTTAGTTATCAATAATAGAAAGATAATCCAAAGCTAGGAACTACTTGTCTGAAGGGAAACTGTCGAGTCCAAAAATATCAGATTTGGGTCAGGTGTCAGACTATGTGTTGGACTGTCAGGAATGCATTGGACGGTAAAGGAATGTGTTGGAAGTATGTCGGATTGTCAGTCAAATGAGTGTTGGATGTTTTGGAATATTTCAGAGTAAAAGAGCAGATAGATATTTCACAATACAAAAAAGTACTACTAATATCCAATGACTTCCATCCTACTACTGAGTAGGGAAAAGTAAGTAAGTTAATAGGTAGGAAGTACTGGATATCATATAGTGTCAATGTAGAATTTCAGAGTGCATTGGGTGAAAACAGTAGCACAAAATCGGGTCCGAATGTATGTAAAAGAGCATGAGTACTGCACCTTTTGTAGATAACATGTAATAACACTGTCTGTAATATTCAATAATGCAAAAATGAGTAAATATGCACCAGTGGAGATAGATATGACTGGACAGGACATAGGAAGGACAAGTCTGATGCAAAAATGTTGGGTCCAAAACTTTTGGGTCGGGATCGGTGAAGATGAGGAATCTAAACTGTGGGGAAAGTTGGTGCTAAGCTAAGCAAACACAGATAGACCCGGGCGCGAGTGAAATCATCGTCCCAAGGGCAGCTAACTGAGTAAAGGAAACCTCTCTTTGTAAAAAGAGGGACACCAAACAACTAATGAAGTACTAGGGCTAAGTAACACGTGAAGCATGAAGCGGAAACAATGCAATATACGAAAGGCAAATGCGCACAATGACGTGTGAGTGCGAAGGGCGAAGGTCGAGGTGCACAACGCGAAGGTAGCACGCGCGAGCAAAGGCGAGAGACAAGCAAGCAAGAGAAGCAAGGGGAAAGGGAGGCGAGACGAGTGTTAACACCCCAACTAAGGTTGGCTGATGCTAAGACAGAGACTGAGAACCAAAGTACATGACTTTAGACAGTCACTTGCAAACAACGAGTAAAATTCTTAGTATCTAGAGACACACAGAAAGTGGGCGGAAAATCGACCCCGAAAATAGAGTCAAGAGATAGTATATGTAAAGATAGTTAAGCGCCACTAGGTGCGCAGGTCTGATGTAGCGAGCTGAGTAAGCTAAATATAGTACACGAAATAGGTAATAGGGTCTCAGCTGCACGCGTAGTGCTAGGCCGAGAATTAGCGATGGAAATAATTAGTCAAAATGGGAATATAGTGACAAAATGCACCAATGGACATCTAAGGACATGGGGAGGACAGATGGACGGGTATGTGGACGATGCTAATGCGGATGCGCAGTGCGCATGAAGTACAAGTGGCTGCATGCGGAATCTGCAAAGTAAAATATATGAAGTGCTACTGCGCAAGACATATCCTTAGGATTAGAGCTGAAGTGTGTAGGGAATGTGGGAGAATTCGAGGGAAGTGCCTGTGGAGACACAAGGCTCTACATCAGGATCAGAATGTCAGAGATGCATCAGACAAGGACTGTTTGACATGAGTATTAGAAATGTGGGTTTTGAGCCCAGTGCTGCAACTACCATTACAGTGGGATCATTGCCAAATAGTGTCCATGGGCCTGCTCCCACCTTAGTGAGGTAGGTAGAGTATGTTCAAGGTATAAAGGTTAGAGCTGGGGCCGTTTTTAAATCCTGGTGTTGAGATTTAGCACATTCAAGCCTAATAATACTTGGCAAGACACATAACTATCAACTATAATTAGGCTTCTTTATTGGGCAACCCAGGTGAACCTGCACATTGATTGTGTCACATCCTATCACACTTCAGCATGGTACCACCACAGTCAAGTTTTATTCTCCAATCTTCAAACTCTGTTTACTGATTGTTATGACTGGGATAGTTCTTCTGTCAATGGTCAAGATAGACCAGTCGAAGTTGACAGTTCGTTGGCCTTCCTAGTACAAGGAAGGTTTCTGGTTTCAGGGGGTTCCTACTAGACGAGCGCTGCGGCTTCTATCTAGGATCAGTGGCGAGTGGTTTTAGCACTTCTACCACAATCAAGGATTCAGGCTAAGGACAGTGAGTGACTGCTTTAGAATCAGGTATCAGGCTACAAGGGTGGAGATCTTGTAGATCAGGATTCAAGGGGAAAACCCAGTAGATTAAGTTAAGGACTACAGCTATGGTACATGGGGTTTATATAGGTAAAAGGGAGCGGCGCAGCCGCGACAAGAATGGTAACAAAGATAGGAAAATAGTACAACCTATCAAGATAGCAAAGATAGGTGAAACCGCCATGCGGCGCAAGATAGTATCTATGTTACAATCAAAAGGAAGAGAAGTGCGGACAGCCCGCTTGATAAGAGAATAGCCAAGTCTAAAAGGGTCTAGAGTCGGCGGCCTGGTTACAAGAAAGGAAAAATGAAATAGGAGTAAATGTTATTGTAACACTGATCCACAGGTTCATGACATGCTGATGCATCATTAGTGGTAGTCAAAGTGGATGATTTTGAGGTGATTTAGTGTATGATTCAGAAAATGATTTTGGATGCTGAGAATCAGATTTTGTGTTGAATTGTGCTGAACTGTTAAAGTGCCTCTGGAGGTGTTTCTTGTGATTCTGAATTCGATTTCAGACTGTAAACAGCTGTATTTCTCTTATTTAAAAATACAAATATCTAATTAAATATACTTGTCCTGTGTGCTAGCAACTATGAGCACCCTCTAACATGGCACCCAAAGGAAAAGGTGTTTAATCTTTGCTGAAAGCTAGTAAGAAGGTACCTGTCAAAAAAGTTAAAAAAAACACAGCAAGTGGGTATCAAAGTTGAAGTCGGAAATATCACAGAGGCTATCAAAAAGGCCAAGAATGAGAAAGATGATGAGGAAGTCCCTGACATCGAGTGCATGAAAGATATCAGAAAACAGATAAAACATAACTCACCTTGAGCTGTCAGTTGGACAGATACTTTGACCTGGTCCCTCATCAGTGCTGTGACATCTGATAATACCATCCGAAAGGGCTTGTACCCTGAAGGTGCAAATGTGTCAACTGAAAATGGAGGTGCAAAGAAAACAGAACACCACTAGGCACTCTGTAAGGTTCTATTTAATGACCATGAGGAGTATGGCAGTGTGTTTGAAATGGTACTTGGCAACCCAAAAGAAAAAGCCTTATGACAAGCATGGATGCAAAAGATCAAAAACCAAATGCAGACATATGTCATTGTTTGGTTCTGTAATTTTTTAATACTGACCCTTTTGGCAGTTTAGTTTAGAACAAAAAACACTTACATGTGTCAAGGAGATGGGAACAATGGGAGCTGACATTAAGCATAAGAAAGATATCAACATGAGTCAGGTTAACAGCTTTACTACAAGATGAGGTAAGTGCCACTAACTTGGTCATCATTTTCCATGCCAAGACAACTTTACCAGTGCAGATTAAACAAGAAAATTTTTGTAATTCTTTAAGATGTGAGCTCTTATGGCTAATCATCCTAGTTGAATTTCTATAGGTGTTGGTAATGTGGATCTAGCTGCCGACCTTTGATTCTGTTATTGAATGATGGTGAAGATTTGTATGAGTCACAGAGTGAGTCTATAGGATTATCTGATGTAGAGCATGATGGAGAAAACTTGAGTGGTGATGACACAAAACCTCCAAAATGTTGGCATCCAACAAAGGTCAAAGATCCTACTGATGAAGATTGCAAGCTTGCAAAGAAGTTAAAGGTTGCAATGAGCACTAAACCATTTAAGACAAAATCATTCCTAGACAGGTATGCAAGATAGAGGAGGAAGACTGAGTATACTTTAAGGAAGCTGAAACTTGAGCATCAATTTTGCATGGCTCAATTGCCCCACATTAATCAGGCTGGCCCTTCATAAGCACACTATTAAACAAACAACAATGATCCCTATGAACTTCCAATTCTCCTACAACCAGAGTACTCCAATGGTGGAAGTTCAACTAGCTATGATAATCACTAGACTTGTGACCAATTTTGAGCTTTTTTTTGTTTATATTTGAGTAATGCACCTTTTGGCTGATTTTAAACATTGCTGCCATCCATTTTGTGCAACTTTGAAAGAATTATCTTCTGAGTCTGAAAATGATGAGAGACCTTTCTCGATCATGTGTTGGTGTATCGTAATCACCATCCTCTAGCTTATCTGCCTTGCATATTATTGAAAAGACATGCAAAGTAATGCAGGCCACAGTCCAGTATGTGGCAATACAATGAGTCACTTCATTCTGTATCTTGACATAAATACCTTTGAGTGAGTAAAAATGCCTCTTTAATTAGCCAATAGCATGTTCCAATTGAATATGAATCATGAAAACATGGTTATTAAACACCCAATTATCAGACTCCTCCCGTTCTGGTATTTTATTAGGTGCAACCATCCAAGTTTGTATCTGAAGCTCTATGGTTAGTATACTCGGGCTTCAGCAAATAAAAGCTCTTACTGGGTATGCAGAACCTGCCCAAATAAATTCCCCATCTTCGAGTATGTCATCGTGGTTCTGAGTAATAGATGTCTCTTGCAAAGCACTCATATTATGAGTACTTCCAGTATGCCCATAGCTAAAATCAATAATTTGGAGATTTGAGAGTGAGATGATCTATTAAATATCATCAACTCAAATATATTGTGTTGCAGATAAAATATAAATATAAATACTTGGACATTCAATAAATAATTTGACTTTTGGTCAAAGTAGCTTTCTTCATACCAATGTGGTCAGTCATGAAGAGGAATGAGTGTGCCATCAACTAGGCACCACACATTCCTCTATGTATGACAAGAGTGAGCTTCAACCCAGGACTTTGCAAGTTCTTTTTCATCTGCAGTGGAAAATTGAACAGCAGATTCACAGAAAGATGGGCAAAGGACAGCTGTCATGACTCTGTAGGTAATGAGGTGGACAGTTCCCTTGCCGAGCTGAGTCCAATCTATAACTTCCTGTATGCTGGCTCTATTACCATCATGTCTGAAGTGATTTAGTGCAACTGTGAGTTGGTCTGTGAGGGGAATTTGTTCATTTTGGGAGTTGTTAGAGAATACAGGATCAGGTGCAAGTTTGGTGCATATTTTGTTAAAGGTATATGGGGATACTTGAAGACTCTTGCAAAACTTATCAGGACATTATGGCTTCAGTACATCTAGCACATATCAGCCCAAAACAAACCATCTGGATTCAAGCATAGTAGTAAATTTTTGGTGTGGCTTCAGCATGCTAATAGCACTCATCTTCCACTGAGCTTGCTGAATTCCAAGAATCTTTAATAGGTACTCTATTTTGGGGTGATAAATAGGTAGGCAGGACACTTACCTCCTCAGGCTGCTGCTATGACCCAAGACATAGCATTCAATAAGTCTAAAACAACATCAATCAGTGGATTCATCGCATTGGGACAGAACTCATGTAAGTATAGTGCCAGTTTGTATGAAATGTTGTATGTATGCACCTTGTACATATCTGGATGTTTTGCTGATGGCATTGCCTCAGTCTGTAGTACTACTACAAGATCCAGCTTTAACCTGTCTTACTGGTAAGAGACACACCGTTTGAGCCCGTACATGTCAAAGGGACTTTGGAGAACAAAGTAGAGTAATAATGGAGGTATTATCAACTAGAAATAAAGGAAGTATATTATTAATCACCAGCTCCCATCACATGATTATGCATTTGGTGAATTTTTTGTTGTCCTTCTGCAGTATGCTGGCATCAGACAGTCGTGTCTGCCGCAGGGCATGTACTATATTGGTAAAGAGAAGCTCAACATTATAAGCTATTCGCGCTGACATTTCCATGAATTCACATCCAAACATTTGAGCCAGTGTGATGCCCTCCTAGAGTGAGACCTCATGCTCCTGTGATTTATCACACTGGTTACCCACGAGCATAAAGATAGGCTTGCAGTGTGGTGATTTGAGCATAGACTGTCTGAAAACCTCCAGCCATTCATACATTGCTTAAGATGTGATTGAGTAAACCAGAATGAACCCTTGGCCTTCCCTAGAAATCATATGAAACTGAGACATTCATAAAGTGACAAAACCTAGCCATTGCTCACTGAACAATTGGTCCCACAAAGTAGTGTACTCCTCTACATCAAATGATCAGAGGAATGCAAAAATCTGGATAATTATAACCGCCTACCCTGATAGTCCATGAGGTGTTACACTTAGCATAACATTGAACTTGGATAGGTCTTCTCTCTATCTCCAATAAAGGAGAGATCAAGTAGAGAGTATATTCTGCAGCCCAGTACAGGACTGACTCCTATAGTCAACTAGCAGAGCCTCCCCATTAATATAAGGTTGGCAGTCAACTCTCTAGAAGATGGATCTACACTGTTCAACTAGAGGAAAGAGAATGTCCCTCTCAGAAGGTAAGTAGTATTCTGTGGTTGCACCAGAGGGGTTCAAGGTAAACCCAAATGAGTTCTAGGATAAGATCAAGTAGATTAAAATGGCTTAGCATCAACTTTCCTTGCACTCTAAATTCCTCTTCTTCACCATGTAGTTCCCTTTGTACTATGGGTACTAATCAACTTGAATCAATGTCCATGTTTTTCTGAGTGATGAGTTAGTGGTTGAATATGTCTGCCAGTGCCAACATATTAGTCCAACTAGCCCTTAAGGACTCAGGAAGCCTTCAACACAAAGAAGCTTGATGCTTGGCATATGCTATCAGTCCCTCACACTCATCATTATCCATGATATGTAAGGTATCTTTAAGCCCTTGCTTGTCCCAGCATTGCACATCTCATTCAAAAAATTGTAGGATCCTCCACATCTCTTCCTTCAGCAGCTCCACCTCTTCAGCCCAGTGCATTGTCTATGTCCTGGCTTTGCACCATTTGATTCACTATCTAATTAACTACAAACCTTAGAAAGCTTCCAAAACAGAAAAAAAAAAGTACTTGTGCTCCAAAGTATTGTCCTTGTTCATCTCATGATTCTTGTTAGGTGCAGCTTCTCACATATTCCAGATCCAATATAGTTTTCTTGTCTCCTCTGATTCCCCTCATAATAGATCTGTCATTGAGCAAATATCAGCTTGGTTTAGTAGCCACAGTGAGAAGTGCCACCCAGTCTGATTTAGTAGTGCCAGTGCAAGAACATTGAACTCACAAACTCATCCACTTACAGTTAAATTCTGCTCAGTCATCATACAAATCTCTGGTTGCTATAATAGAAGGTGTACATGTTTATATCATATCATCTCCAGTCTCACATCAGGTAACTGACCCGAAAATGACAAAGCTTTGCAAAGTTTTATCTAGTCTAAAATCTACATAATATCTATCAGAATTATACTCCACTCGAGAAAGCTTTATATACCCAGACTAAGTTGGATGAGAACTGCCCAAAGTACAATCATGGCAGACTACTGGCATTTGCTTACCATCTTTTTACATATTGCAAAGTATGACCAAGATTTGTAATCCAACTTACCCAAGGGTGCTAATCAGTTATCAAGTCTTGTCATACATTTTTAGAAAATAAAATCAATATTTATTAAAGGAGTAGGATATAGATATAGCATGGTAGTATTACAACAGTAGAGATAAAAGATAAAGGAAACAACAAAATTTGAGGGTGACTCAAGGAAGGAGCTATTACAGTAAAAGGAGACACAATGAGGGCCAATAGTAGTGTTGTACAGGCTAGGCCAGGGCTTGAGTGGGTATGGGCCTCGTAATATTTTGGCCCAGCCCTAACACTGGGCTTGGGCTTGGGCTGGTCCAGGCCAGGTTGAAGCCCAGGGCCTAAAAGTGTAAAGTCTGGATGAATGTAGAAACTTTGTATTGTAACTACATGACAATGAAACATGGACAAAGTTATTCTGAATTCTCTATATCAATCACAGCATGAGTCATACTATCTTCATCAAAATTCTCTAGGCATCCATCAAGTAGTTCATCATCCTCATTGGTAGGATATTTAGTCAATGACGAAGGTCCTGACAAAGCAGGCATTTTATTACCTGTAATGCCTCAACAACATCACCTTTGAGACAATCAATTTTGGTGCTTTGTAATTGTTGATGCCACAGATGAAAATGTGCGCTCACTTGAGACTGATGAGGCCATTATTCCCAAAAAGTCGCGAGCAATAGTTGTCCAGACTGGCCCATATCTCATCCAATTTAACTTTCAATAGTCATTATCTTCATTCAGTAAATAAATTGAAGGATACACACCCCCACCACTGGACAATAGACTGATTTTTGGCCAGCTGGTTAAATGTATTGATATAAAAGTAGAAATCTTGAAGCCAGGGTTTGCGAGGATCAATTGACAGTGGGGTTGCAGATGGAGCTGGAGTGTTGTCACTGTCATCATCATCCATCTCATTATCACTAAGTTTGTGCAGGAGCTGTGCAACTTTTATTCCTGATGCATGACCTTCCTTGATGGGAGCCACATGCTCCATGTTACCGTGAATGTGGAGATAATAGTTCTGAAACTAAGAATGCAAAGTCAAATTATTGAGGTCACAACAATCCTGTAGAATACTCACAATGTGTTCAGCATTCTTGCAAGCTTCTTGTTGCAAATTTTTGTCCCAGTATTTCTTGAAATGAGTCATTTTCTTGTTGGGATCTAGCACTGAAGTTATTTCAACCAAGTGGTGGGTAGTAGGAATCTTACTCACACATGGCCATAATATATGCATCGGAGTCACTAGTCTTCTCATAGTACTTGTAATCTTGTTAATTGCAGCTTAAAGGAGTGATTTAAAGTGAGTGTACTTTAGCTTTACAAGCCTTAACCTCCAAGCTTTATGTAGCGCTTCTAGGGCTGGAATGGCTAGGTGTAGGCTTGGGTTGCAATCAGATGAAAATGCTTGTCAGGTGTTGTCTGCATGTTTTAATAAATTGTATAAATATTGTGACTCAAACATCAGATACCTATATACTTATAGCGAGGAGATCAAGGAATAATTTGACACATTCTCATTCATCATTTCATAGCTCTAACTTACCGATCTTCTTCCGCTTCTCCAGGTTTGGCTCCTTCAGGCCCATTTCATAGATAAAGGTATTGATATACTATAGGTGACACATTGTATTAGATTTTTAGAATTGCAGACAAAGTATACTTACCTTTCACTAAGTTTCTCATTATGGGGGTAGAGATATAATACTTGCCTTATGATCTTTTTCAAGGTGCCAATGGCATATTGACAGGTCCTTCACAAAGTGTTTGTATGGACCCTTCTTCAAGCACAAGGTGTAATTACAATAAGTGCGAGGTTTCCCATCAGTGCCAGGTTCAGAATATTTTGCACTAAAAAAATGATCAACATCCTGACCTTTTCAATCACAATTTGGCTTGACCTCATCATTGGAAAGGCTCATGATGTTGATGTCAGCTAAAAATCCATCACTGTTGATAGGGTCTGGATCTGTGACTGAATTTTCAAATATACACTAATTTAAGTTCAAACATTCATAACTAACCTTTGCATTTCTTTTTGTATGCAAGCTTGTTTGTATCAGGTGCAACATGGCCATTTTCTGAGTCAGAACTGATGGTTACAGATTGACTGATATGAGACTTTTTGTCTACATGAATACATTTATATTGTTATGTACTGAAATGTGCAATGCCGATAATGCTTAGTACTTACTTTTTGGTGGTTTTGGAGCAGTTGAACAATCTGTCTCATTCTCACTATCAAAAGACTCAAGATTTTGAGATCTCTTAGCAGGGTTGACAGCATGAGAACTTGTAGTTGCTGATGTCATGGTAGTAGCTGCTATCAAAATCCTAGCATCCTCAGCTTGCATGAGGGCAATAGCCTTAAGGTGGGCACTCAGTTCTGATGTGGTGGAATTAGAGGCATCATGCCAACTTTGTATGTAATGAATACCAATTGTAGGCAGAAGGATCAGGCATGAATTAACTATATAGTTAATACCAGAATGAACTGCAAGACTTGCACATATACATTGGTCTATATTTAGAATATTAATCCTGGGCCTGAGCCCTGGGTATGGGCCTATGGAGGTTCCAGGCCCAGCTCTTAGCCCTGATCAGCCCACTCACAAGGCTGGGCTGGTCCAGGCTTCCATAGGGCCAGGCCTTGTGGGCCTGAGCCCAGGCCCTCCCCATTACTAGCCAGTGGAAAGAAGAGCCAGGGAGCCAGGAAGGGACCATAAGGAAGGACCAGGGAGTCAAGGAAGGGCCATAAGGAAGGATCAGGGAGCCAGGGAGGAACAACAAGGAAGAGCCAAGGAGGGACTATAAGGAAGGACCAGGAAGCCAGGGGGAAATATGAGGAAGGGCCAAGGAGAGACTACAAGGAAGGGCCAATAGGATTTGAAAAAGAGAGTCCTTGCAAGAGTATGTGCAGCTGCAACACTAGCAGTGGTAATGAACCAAGTGGAAACTTGGTTGAAACTTCAAGTGAAAATTTCAAATAGCTTACCTAAGTGTTTCATAAGTGTACAGGATTGTTGACAACACTGATGCAAGCAGTGGGTTGAGAAGCTAATGGTAGGCAGCAGTGGCCGCCCAAGATCATTTTTTGTCACTGTGGTAAGGATGTTGTATTTTTCTATCTATCAAGGATCACACTTGTGAACCATGATGTTGTTGGATTTAAATTACCTTATCGAGTTTAACTTGGAACAAGCTGATTGTGACTTAAACCTTATTTTGCTGTGATTACATACAGTAGTGATATTTTTATATACCTTACATGTTTGCAACAAATTCACTGTGCTACCAGCTGCCGAAAATTCTATACAAACATGTCACACAAACAGGCAGAGCTCCCTGTGGTTATATCTTAGGGCTATTTGGTGATTCCATCACTGGCAGAAGGCAAAAGTCTCAGAATCAACAGATCTGGGCTTAACTATTTATACTTGTGCTTCTTTCGCTTCTATTACCTCACATTCCTGGCGCCATCACTATGACTGATGACTCAGACCGCATTTCGTGCTTCCCCCTTCTCTGGGATACCAATTATGGTGAGTGGTCTATCTGAATGGAGGTGGAGCTTATCCAAAAGGGTCTATGGGATATGGTGTTTGCTGAGGTGGATGTGGATGGAAAGATGGATGACAAGGTAAAGACAGAGTTGCAGAAGTTGCTGGTTAGGAGGTCAGTGAAAAAGATGGTGGAAATCATCCTTCGCATTGAGTGTGACCAGCTCTGTTAAGGTCATACTCTTGTATTAATGGATCCGATAGGGCCTCAGCCTTAGCTCATACGCTGTGCCCCTTTCCCAAGTATTGCCCCTTATTTCAGAGAGGGAGATATAACACATCTGAAGGATCGGACGAGTACCATAATGATATCCGAAGGTCGTCCGGATAATGGAAGCACGTGTAAGACTAATCCAGACAGGTCCGGACTAGAAAACAACAGAGTATAGGCTATCCGAAGATAGAGTCGGAGATGTAGACTTATAGGATACAATCCTTAAGTCTTGGAATGTGACAAGAGCTTAACTAGGCTCGAGTCTGGAGGACAGAAAGAGAACAAACTAAGATGATATTCAAACTGAGGTATTACAGGGCATATACAAGGGTTTATATACTAGAAGACTATCTGAGGCTATGCACAAAGTATAAGCGAAGTTTATCACAAGTTAAATGTGAGTCAGAAATTAGCACAGGTTAACGGATCATAAAGCATAGCCAGAAGTATGGATAACCAAGATACCAGGAACAAGGAATACTGAATAAAGGAATAGGCTGTGATTAATGTTATATGAACAGGAAATGAATAGGAAGCTTATTGTATCTCAGATTGGAAGAGGATCTGTATATCAGATCAGATCAGATCAGATCTAGGGTCTGAGGTCCGGATGAGAAGCGTGGATATATGGAATATGACAAGCTCGCTCATATGCATGATCCTGATCCCAAGGTCATCTGGGAGATGTTTGCCCAAGTCCATTGTGCACATGGCCTAGGTACCAGGATGGCATTGTGACAGAAGTTGTTGACAGTGACAAAAGGTATGAGATAGGCTTGTTTGCCTGGATTAGTCGTGTCAAGGGTATGGCTCTGGATTTGGAGGATATTGTAGGGAGCTAGACATGAAGTAAGTCTCAGTGAACATGAAAGCAACACTGTATTTGATATCTACCTAGACACGAAGTAAGTCTAGGTAATGTGTCAGCAGACTAAGTACAAGTGACAATGAGAACAAGCATACCTCAGCAAACGTGAAAGCAATGCTGAGGTGAACTGCAATACGAGGTGGGATATAAGTACCGGCATCAAGAAGTCCAAGGCAGAAAAAAGCAGTATGAGCTATAGCAACAACGGTGAGGACTGCCCAAGGTGTTGAAGGTGCAAAAAGGTAATAAGAGTCAAAAAGGAAAAAGAAAACTCAAAAGTTAGACCAGAGGCAAATCCTCTGGGTTTTGTATCATGTGGAGAAACCGGTGAAGATGAGGAATCTAAACTGTGTGGTAAGTTGGTGCTAAGCTAAGCAAACACAGCTAGTCCCAGGTGCAAGTGAAATTGTCGACCCAAGGGCAGCTAACTGGTGAAGGGAAACCTCTCTTTGTAAAAAGAGGGACACCAAACAACTAATAGGGTACTAGGAATTTGGATGCGCGAAGCACGAGGCGGAAACAATGCAGTAAATGAAAGGCAGACGTGCACGATGATGCACAAGTGCAAAGTGCGAAGGGCGAGGTATGCAATGCGAAGGTAATGCGCGCAAGCGAAGGCGAGAGATTAGTGAGCAAGAGAGACAAAGGAGAGACAAGGCGAGACAAGTGTTAACACCCCAACTAAGGTTGGCTGATGTTAATGCTAAGGCAAAGATGAAGACCGAGGTGCGCGACTTTAGATAGTCACTAGCAAACAACAAGTAAAATTCCTTGTATCTAAGACACAGAGAAAGTGGGCAGAAAATTGACCCCGAAAATAGAGTAGAGAGATACAGCCTTAGTTGTAGTATTAGACCTAATATTTTGGCAACTACCATTTTTACCATAGACACTTTCATGGGCAACTACCAGTTCACTCTTTTGACCTATTGCATGGCACTTGCTAGGTCCCCCCCCCCCCCCCCCCCCCCTATTTGGGGGCTTTCACAGCCGCATTTTTGGGATTTTTGAAACTCAGCTATGTTTTCAGTCACAAATGTGTTCTCCACATTTGTCAGATGTTTTGATATGTTATCAGGCCTCTCCACATTATTCCCACACTCCGCATTTTCGCATTTTTAGCCACATGCTGTGGGAATTACCCCACAACACCCAAAACATCACCCAATATGGTACACCACACAATTATAATTATTCCCACACCCTCCCCACATCATTGCAGCTTCACCACCACACCACAATAGCTCCCCCTTTATATATAAGTAGTAGTTTAGTATATATATATATATATATATATGATAAAATATAATAGACTGCTTTTGTTGTTTGTTTGTGTGACTGCTCCTCCTCCAGGGGCAATTCAACATAGGGTAGGGTACAAAACACTTTCGCATTTTTGCCTATTTGGTGGGGAATTGTTCTATGATATTTAGAACATGTCTATGAGCATATATGAGTATATTCCCATCTTTATTTGAACCCCTGAAGTGTCCTACATCAATAGATACAGTGCATATGCAAGAAAACACAGAATATGTTCTCATTTGATTATTTCTAGGTGGACAGACTTGAAAAAATGATTCCCAGCATCTATTTAACAATAGGAACAATGTATCAAGAGCCCAAGACCATAGGAGAATACCCTGTTGCATGGTGTGCCCCCCCTCTCCTGGTGGTTTACCCCCTGTGAAAATTTTTCCTGTAGGACCGGACCTCAATTGAGGTGATGGGTCTATTCCTATGTATATTTGGAGTAAATCTATCATATAGCTGGCCCAGGACACACATAGGATCCTTCTACAGAAACAAAAACATGGAAAATCGCATTTTTCACACTTTTGATGTTTTTAAGTATCTTACTCTTGCACAAATAATACAACCTGTTCATATATCATTATAATAGCATATATACTCGCTTTTTATCACAAGGATCAGGTCAAAATAGGCTGGAGTCTTGAGCTAGTGTGGATGCTTGCTAGTTTTACTGATAAGGAGCCTATATTTTCAAAACATCGAAATTGAATAATCAGACACCTGGAGTAGATTTAAAATATATTCAGTATCATGGGTCTAAATTTACAAAACAATCCAACAAGAATTGAGTGCTGAGGAAGTGAAACAGATAAGAAATTGAGCGTGGGAAAGTTCAAAGACTCAAAACATCGAAAATGGTCAGTTGGGCAGTGGTAGGACTTTAATGCTGGGTCAACTGAGATACACACCACATCCCTTCCACCACCCTCCAGCCTCAGGGCAGTATGTAGTATAGCTTCCTTTAGTAATCTACCATGTATCCTACATATCTTTAATGAAATATTTGACCTGTATCATATATAAATGTGACTTTGTGTAAAAAGATGGCAATTGTCACTTTTCACACATATGTCATTTTACTTGTCATTCAGTAAGTCCTTCATGGATCTGTCTAAAGTCTCAGAGTCATCATCAGGGACATATATGGGAGGTATTCCAGGTCTTTGATTGCTTATCACAGGCTTGATTACTATGTAGGCTTCTTATCAGTAGAAATACCCCCTGTACATCAGATATCAAATTTGCGCCCTATGTAGGGCTGATACTTGGCATAGGAAATATGTGGGAATATTCTACTGATTATATATGAGTAGGACTGGTCATTTATGCAAGAGTAAGGCAGTTAAAAACATCAAAAATGTGAAAAATGCGATTTTCTATGTCTTTGTTTCTGTAGAAGGATCCTATGTGTGTCCTGGGCCAGCTATATGATAGATTTACTCCAAATATACATAGGAATAGACCCATCACCTCAATTGAGGTCCGGTCCTACAGGAAAAATTTTCACAGGGGGTAAACCACCAGGAGAGGGGGGGCACACCATGCAACAGGGTATTCTCCTATGGTCTTGGGCTCTTGATACATTGTTCCTATTGTTAAATAGATGCTGGGAATCATTTTTTCAAGTCTGTCCACCTAGAAATAATCAAATGAGAACATATTCTGTGTTTTCTTGCATATGCACTGTATCTATTGATGTAGGACACTTCAGGGGTTCAAATAAAGATGGGAATATACTCATATATGCTCATAGACATGTTCTAAATATCATAGAACAATTCCCCACCAAATAGGCAAAAATGCGAAAGTGTTTTGTACCCTACCCTATGTTGAATTGCCCCTGGAGGAGAGCAGTCACACAAACAAACAACAAAAGCAGTCTATTATATTTTATCATATATATATATATATATACTAAACTACTACTTATATATAAAGGGGGAGCTATTGTGGTGTGGTGGTGAAGCTGCAATGATGTGGGGAGGGTGTGGGAATAATTATAATTGTGTGGTGTACCATATTGGGTGATGTTTTGGGTGTTGTGGGGTAATT